CAATGTTTTATATGAGTGATCAGAGGGTTTATGAACCTTAAATGATCTTGGCCTTTAAACTATATGGACGACATTGCAAATCAAATAATCCAATGTTGGGATCTTCTTTCCCTTTTATAGGTCATGCACTGGACTTAATTCTACAAATCAGTCTAGCAAAGATTTACATTGTTCTCTTTTAGTAGAATTTTATTAAGTTTGAATTCTGGACAAAACGTTTTCCGCGGGAAACAATGTGACATATTAAGTAGGGGAACAGGAAATTTTGAAACGTTATTGCCACTTTTACAAATTTGCTTTGCATGTACAAAACATTTTATGAATCCAAGTTAGAGATCTCGATAAATACGAAGAATCTTTGGTCCAATAATAAGTCACGGAGGGTCTTTTTAGTTAACAGTTTTGATGTCTGAATTTATGGTCCCCTAAAAGTGCAGCGAAGTCACGTTTACCAGACAGAAAATAGACAATTTAATATTTATCGTCACAAATTGCTTAAACTAAAATATATATCTTCGTTTCATAAAAATTCGTCCGAATTCCATCGCGTATTTTTATTTTCTTGTTAGTTACATGATTATTCGGACTTGCTTGTAATATGATCAACTTTAAAAGATAAGAATAAAATGATATTGACAGGGTGTTATTTACTTTAGTATAAATATCTTTCGAGTATATACAAGTATACTCGTCTTTGATAATCTTTTTGTTGAGAAACATTGTGAAAATCTTGTTGATAAATGCAATATTTTGATTTGTAAATCATGTCTTTTGTTCATTAATATGCACAATTATAACTTCAATGGACTAAAATCTGCACATATTTATACATGTATACGTGTTCATGATAGTTTTGATTAAACCATATTTATTTCAACAAATCATTTTTTGGTATAATTTTTAAAAAATATTTCTTCAAGTTTTTTAAAGTGGAATATTTTTAATTTTTATCACTAGGCCTAAACCTTTTGAAACTATATTAAAGAGTCAAACAGATAAATTGAAAAAGGGATCATTCTGCTGAAAAATCTCAATTCACGCTCGATTTCATTTTTCTTGCTAAACTCCTACACTTATATCCATCTTAATTTACATGAGATGTGTATTTTCGCGTATATAATTCTAAAAAAAAAAAAACTTTTTGAGAAAATGAAACCTACCCATTAGAAGCGTCATTGGCATCGGACACCAGAAAATTGACTTTTTTCACAGGAGGCAAAGTGGTTGCCATGGTGATAGTCCAAATTCGAATTATCCAAAATGTTATACATACTCCGTTCAATCACAATTTTCAAATTAAAACAATGTAATTTTTTATAAAAGTTACTTTTTCTACCAGGAATGTATCATGTCGCTAGAGTATATTCCGATTCATAAATGGCTATATAAATACGATCCTCTGGTATGAGATTAGAAGCGAATTAAAGGCTTCACTAATTGATTCAACCAAGACACCTAGCGCTGCAAGCATTCCATTTTCTAAACACTTGCCTTGTGAACATTTTACATGGATTTTAAAATCCTTGACTATTTCATGCTTTCAGTGGCCATATAAATCAATATAAAGAAATTGATCAAAAACTTTTTGCATTGCTGAAAATCTGACTTAATAGATAAAAAAATGTCGAAGGAAAATAAAAATTGGAAAAAGGAAATAAAATAAAACATAAAATTAAAGTATTGACTTGAGAATCAAAATTGCACCTTCATGAATTCTGAACAATTTTTATGTCTAAAATATGGATAATATTATCCGTTGTTTTCTTTCAAATTTAAATGGTCATTTGATTTACAAAGACTTCTCATTGTAAAAATCTATTCCGCATATATCCAATTTGATGATTATCAAGCTGAAATAGATTCCATTATTAACTTTTATTAACAAATCAATGGGTAATATGAAACCATTTTAACACTGTATATTTAACTAGATAATTATTTTTGGCAGCATGCAATTTAAAAGACATTTTTATATAAGAACTCATGTTTAAATCAAGGTACAATTGGATGCACACTAACATAATGGTAGGCGAACAAAAGCTGTGAAATGAGAATCTTGTAACAGTCTTAAAACTTGAATTGGTTTTCATCTCGCTGTAAAATTTTTGTTTGTTCTTCGGGCACATACTAGGAACCGAACAAAGATATACATTACAAAACACGAAGGGTCTTAATTGTTTGAAGTAAGGATGGGCTTTACAGGAAAGGAACGGTAGCACTTTTAACTATTTGGTTTGGTGTTCAATACTTTATGCCGGTGAGTGTCGTATATAAACCCGAACCAATTAAATCCTCGGAGTAAAGAGTCAATAGAAGTATTGATAAACACCATAAAAAAAGCAAACACTTGTACGCAGTACTTTAAAAAATAATTGAACCCCAAACAGTTTCCAATCGTAAATGTTTTGTTTCTATACAAAACTGTGGCGAACATAATACAGTCTCTGTAAATTTAATTCTTCCAGGTATATCAAATTGATTTAAATGTTAACACCATGGATTCAGGGATAAACATCTCGCCCTGGCGAGATTTCGTTTTTTTGTATTTAAAATTAGGTAAAATCGAAGGACGTACTCGGTTCCTTTTCAAATGTTCATTGTTACAGAACTTTTCAGGAAGTCCGACATCCGAGCCATAGCATTAATATCATATCACACAGTGCTCCGAAACAAAAAATTACATTACACATTTATTATTATCATGCATTTCTAGTATTTCAATTCCATTCATTTAAACATTACTACTTTTGAAACATATCAAGTTCCCTAAATCCACCGGATGTTACTAACATAAAACAACACAAAGTATGGCATACCCATGAACTACACTGCACTACGTAGCGGATCTGCCTTGCCATCTGGGTAAAGATTACTTAACTCCATCTACTTAACATTGTCTTCCGAACATTAACAGTTCCTCACTGTTCGTTTGACACTATCCAAAACAAGAGGCCCATGGGCCACATCGCTCACCTGAGCACATTGGCTAGGAAAAAAAAGCAAAAATCAGTTCAGTATTGAAAAGTTAACGGGGGAGAGAGAGGAGGATGGGGGATTTTAAACTACCTAACAACGCTTTCATATCAATATAACAAATGACTTTGCTGTTCTTGAGCAGAAGATTTTTTCCCATATATTCATTTGTAAAAATTTGATCCCCCATTGTGGCCCCACCCTACCCCTGGGGGCGCTCATTTCAACAAATTTCATTTTATACTACCCAACGATGCTTCCATATCAATTTGACTAATCATGGCTTTTCTGTTCTTGAGATAAAGATTTTTTCCTATATATTCCTCTGTAAACTTTGATCACCCATTGTGGCCCCACCCTACCTCCGGGGGTCATAATTTGAACAAACTTGAATCTACACTACCTGAGGATGCTTCCATATAAATATGACCAATCATGTCTTTGCTTATCTTGAGAAGAAGATTTTTAAAGTTTTTTTCTATATACTCTTATGAAAAACTTTGACCCCCCCCCCATTGTGGCCCCACCCTACCTCCAGGGGTCATGATTTGAACAAGCTTGAATCTACACTACCACTACCTGAGGATGCTTCCATATAAATATGACCAATCATGGCTTTGCTGTTCTTAAGAAGAAGATTTTTAAAGATATTTTCCTATATATTTCTATGTAAAACTTTGATCCCCCATTGTGGCCTCACCCTACCCCCGGGGGTCATGATTTGAACAAACTTGAATCTACACAACCTGAGGATGCTTCCATATAAATATGACCAATCAGGGCTTTGCTGTTCTTAAGAAGAAGATTTTTAAAGATATTTTCCTATATATTTCTATGTAAAACTTTGATCCCCCATTGTGGCCTCACCCTACCCCGGGGGTCATGGTTTGAACAAACTTGAATCTACACTACCTGAGGATGCTTCCATATAAATATGACCAATCATGGCTTTGCCGTTCTTAAGAAGAAGATTTTTAAAGATATTTTCCTATATATTTCTATGTAAAACTTTGATCCCCCATTGTGGCCTCACCCTACCCCGGGGGTCATGGTTTGAACAAACTTGAATCTACACTACCTGAGGATGCTTCCATATAAATATGACCAATCAGGGCTTTGCTGTTCTTAAGAAGAAGATTTTTAAAGATATTTTCCTATATATTTCTATGTAAAACTTTGATCCCCCATTGTGGCCCCACCCTACCCCCGGGGGTCATGATTTGAACAAATTTGAATCTACACTACCTGAGAATGTTTCCACATAAGTTTCATCTTTCCTGGCCCAGTGGTTCTTGAGAAGAAGATTTTTAAATGATGCCATTATTTTTTCACTAATTCCTAATTATCTCCCCTTGAAAGAGGACGTGACCCTTCATTTGAACAAACTTGAATCACCTTCACCCAAGGATACTTTGTGGCAAGTTTGGTTGAATTTGGCCCAGTGGTTCTTGAGAAGAAGATGAAAATGTGAGAAGTTTACAACAACAACGACGACAGACAACGGACAAATTTTGATCAGAAAAGCTCACTTGAACCTTTGGCTCAGGTGAGCTAAAAAGGAACTTCTTGACCCCCCCCCCCCCTCCAAAATGAAGTTCGTCGATAGCAACGTTTAATTATTTATAAACCTTATAAGCAACTTTTGAGAATAATATAATTTGATTTCAAGCATTTTCTATCATGTTATGATACACTAAAGGTCATAGTCAAACATATAAATACATTTCTCTTGTGTTTGCTAGTACCTGTACATAGATAACATATTAGGTCTTGTTGTGATAAAGTAATAGACCAGATGGATCTGAAACGCTTGGACTGCATGACAGATGGACAATTTTATACACTGTACACAATAAACCTTTTTTTTCCTGGTGAGAACATTATTTAGCGACAACAATCTCGAAGTTGACGTTCTCTCAATACCCTCTCATAATTGAGGAACAAACCAGAAAAAATTTCCTCAGAACAATACTGAAAATGTTTGGAAATTTTCGATAAAACCTTTCAATTTCTCATTTCATTTATACCTTTTATTTGCTTCTTCCTTTTTCTGATATATAACTCGATCTTCCTGCTTATTCTTTGGACTTGTGCGAAGGGACCGGTCTTCTTTCTGGTCTTGCTGTAAAATTGTTGTAAATTCAGACTTTCCATAGGTATGCTTCGTAGGCGTTTTTGAATTGTCTTTGACCGAAACAGATCTTTTGGAAAAACTGTCCGTATCGTCCACTTCATCGGCGTCAATACTTGATTTTGCAGCAAAGCTGAAATTATCATTACGAGTCTTCGGTTTAGATACGTCTTTCTTAGAACCAAGTAAGAGAGAACTGTCTGGGGTGTGGCCCCCAGAGTGAAATTTGTACCGAGGAGTATTGGCCTCAGATTTATTCGTAGAGGAACGTTTCACGTAATTGTCACTAGTGGAAGATTCAAAATGGCGCATCTCTCCGTTTTTATCCGAATTTTGGGAAACACTGCGCGTGGAAGATTTGCCAGGTGACACATAGCCATTAGTTCTTGGAAGAGAACTCTTGTGACTGTAGTCTAGATATCGTCTGACAGACGTCGCACTGGAACGGGTACTTTTGGTTCCGACATCGTAGAATCGAACATGTCTTGATTTTGTCGGGGTATTTATAAAGGTACGCACAGGTGTATTGGATAACGATCGGTTGTGATATAGACTTTGAGATGAATGTTCCACCTGCATTGCTAAAATGTCTTTCCCAACAGTAAATTCACCTCAAAACTCAATGATTTCCAACACATTTTCCTTTAATACATCTGCAGAGACTCGTTCATAAGCTAAATGTTTCCAAATTACAACAACCACTTGTAAATGTTTCAAGAAGATTGCAACCTAGGTCTCTAAAGTTCATGGCTTAATCTGAAACCAGTTCACAGGATTTGTTGAACCAGTAGAGCTGTGCTTCTACAAACAGCCGTATATGTAAAAACTTTAAATAAGTCACGTATGTTTTAGTTCAATACTGAGATTAACTTTGACGAGAATTCCTGCCCGTAAAATAAGTAGTTAGCGTTAAAATACGCGGGCAAGAGGCTAAAACAATTAATCCTGGGAGAATGTACAGGTTACAATAAACAAGTTTTTAAAGGAAGTAAAAATAACACAAAATCTTCTTTCTGACTTTTGGTATTTAAAATGCTTTACTCTGTTGAATGACATTTACATTTCGGTGTCACAAAACCGACCCCAAGGCACAACCTAAATAAATGTATATATAAAGTATGATTTAATGCAACTTTGTGTATTTTCTGAGTTAATTGTGAAGCTATAAACCAAATTTGTATGACGTTGTCTGTGTGTATGTTTGTCCTGGTTGGAGTACCATGCTAGGAAAATTGGGCTGCAATAGAAGTTAACTTTTATTTAAAACGTCTGACCACCTATTATAATAGTAATTAGGATTTTTGTCTATAAACAATTTTATACTGTTGCAAATTCACACTTTAGTTTTCAAAAGAATAATTCCTTCATTACATACGTATCGGATTATGAATTTTTTGAACTCTGGTATATAAAGACAAGTCAGAGAGAAAAGTAGAGACAAAATTTATCTTGGCTTTATCCAATAAGAATAACTGTTAGAATTAAATGCGTCCCTGTTCTTTTTTTCTTTTTTTTTTAAATTCAATTTATCATTCACCTTATGCAACATTTTCATGATTTAGGAAAAGCTGGTTTACAAAGTGTAAGCTAAAGACTGACTACAAACCATGTTAACAGCACTAGAATACTGCATGGGAATTAGACAGATGCCGCCATTTTCAAAGGCACCGTAGGAGGCGCCATTTTTGCCAGTCATGTTCCTCATCGCACAGGAGAAATAGGTCTCCATACAGGGCTCTGTTGTATAACAGTCTACAGTCCGACCATTGACCGGAAGTTCAAGTCTGTAGTGACAAAGAAAAACATGGAGACAGATAACAGGTACATGTATTTATCCACGTCACGTTTTCTGTTAAGGAGGAAGACCTTCTGTTACGAAAGATAACTCCTTGAGAGAAAAAATCCCGCATGACAATAATTTGTCCAAATTTGCTTGTCATTAATATTATGTATATCTCCATCTTCTTTAATTTAGAAAATTACCATAATCAACCCCCTCTCTCTTTTAAAAAACCATTGTTACCATTTTAGTAAGCGTGTAATTGTTAGTAAGCAATCTTTGAAAGTTCAATAGGAATACAAGCTCATTTTGAATTAACAAAGCCTTTATTTCATGACGTTACTGACTCTTAACTATTCTGGACGATGGTTTTAATATACAGAAACAGGCTTATTGAATAACTAGAGCTGTCAGTGTCATACCAATGCCCCCGCTGACTGGCAAGTTTTTAATACATGTAAAAGTCTAGACCTCTTTATTTATTTTGCTAATGCATTTTTCTTCATTAAAAAATGTATTGCATTTGTACGTTAAAAATTGAGATAAAAGTTCTTTTTCAGGTGTAAAGACAGTAAATAACCTGGCACGTTTAAAATGCCCCGAGTCTGAACATTTCAGTAAAACCGATTTAATGACAGTTAAACATAACTAATTGTCTGCACAACCCCTGCGTTAAAATCCCCAGAGTAAATAAAACGCCCCTTTTAAATCTATACGTGTGTTAAAATTTGACATTTTGGGAATGTACAAGTAAAAATATATTGCAAACAGATAATTCAGCATTGATTTACCACATCAATAAGTTTAAATTGTCAGCTTGACTGTCAGTCAGACATTCGTAGCTTTTCCAATTCTGCAAGCCACGGATGTCTAGCTATCTAAATGCTTACTTTGCAACGTGTTTTCTTTTCCCGTGTTCGCCAAAAACGTAGTTGGAAACTAATACATCTTTCATTCTGTCCCTCAGTTGCGAGGGAATGGTAAAATCAAACGGTGTGCCCTTTACGTTGGAGATTGTCCCTACAAGTGACAGGTTTTTTTTCTTCATTTCTTTCTTTAGGAATATTTTGATAGTTGTTTAACAAATCTTTTAGTCACGGTGTATGCATTTGTATTTCCAAAAAAAGTTTAATGTACACTGCATATCAAGATTGTGTTTATAATTAAATTACAGTCAGGTACCCTCTAGATGATACATACCATCTCCATGAGGTACCAGTTCGTTGTCCAGCGGAATGTGGCGGTCCGAGTTTACGGTCAGAACATGGTCACCAACCTTACCCGCTCCCTGTTGAATATAGCAGTTAATAACAATGTGGTAATCGGGAGAGGGGCCAATTTATATATTTATATTCGTGTTTTAGGACTGAGAGAGTATAAGTACAATAATTGCTGATTGCAATGATACAATCAAACTAAAGGTGGATGACTCATGACATAATGCAAGAAGGCAGACAAGAATACGTAAATTGAAAATTTCCTTCAAAGATGTCTCTCTTATGAATGCTACTGCTCAATTACTGGTGAATATCAACCTGGAAAAGTTTAAAACTTGAGGCTGCTAAGTTATGAAGCAGTTTACATGTTCTGTTGATTTTATCAATCATGGAAGATCGAAGCAACTCCGAAAATAGTTAATATTTTCCTCTTCCACAATGCTAGCTGTCATTTTTTTTTTGTACAATAAGATATTTTACGTTTTTCTTATTACAAGTGTTTGTTGTGTGTTTTAAAAAGCATATCATTTCTTACATGGCCAGCAAGGTTAAAATACACATGGTTTGATAGGTTGACGGGCGTCGGTTTGGTAGTGGTGGCAGTGTATCCCAGAATTAACTCATTGTCCTGGGTGAACCGGAAGGTGAACACCGCAGTAATCTCCCCTGGGAAACCCTCCTCACCATCAGGGCTGGTATACTTCATCGTAACCGTGTCTCCGTCAACTGAGGACTCGAACATTTTCTGATAGAGTCATCAATGGAAATTTACGTTAAGAAGTTCTGAAGTGATCAAGGAGTTTCAAATACTAGTAAGACATCAATAGTGAGAGGCAGTATACGTTGCATAATTTTTCGCTAATTTTCAAACGATATTTTGGTTCAATAGTGATTGTTCAAAGCTAGAAAAGTTTAATTAAGTTATGTTACATTGCACTCAAGGTAAAAAATATTAGATAAAATATTTGCAATATACAGTAGGTACATAAAGTCATGTGCGACAAATTTTACACTAACCATGTCAAAACCAAATTTCCCGCCATGAACCTGGTGCTTTTTGTTGTCATTAGCAGACACTTTGTATTCTGTTCCATCAATTTTGAATTTCGCGCCTTTTATCCTCTCTGTCACGCGCCCAAGAGCTGCACCGATGTAAGAGTGCTGGGATTCGTAATCTTAAGAAAAATATAAAATTTAAAGTAAAAATTCTCTATACACATGTGATAATATTGTTATACTACTTCTAACAAAACAAATTTGTAAACTTTGATATTGATTCCGAATCTTTAAGAGTATTGCACTTCGTTAGACATTTATGAATGAAATAAATAATGAATAAAAAACTACACGATAATTACCTTGTGCCGTATCAAAACCTAGACTAATATCCTCAATTTTTCCGTTTTTGTCAGGAAGAAGAATATCAGTTATTGTAGCTCCAAAATTGATTACACGGATGGTCACGTTATTTTGATTGGTGAAACTAAATCTGTTTTAAAAAAATATGAAAATATCATAAAAAATATTACACAAGTCATGCTGATTTTTCATTCATATTTGAATTTTACAGAGAATGAAGAAAATGTAAATTTAGAGGATTTACATCTTGTTTCTGGAGATGAAAACCAATCTGCATTTTACAACAGTTAATTAACCACATTAATTAGATTGTGGTGTTCATGTACCTGGTGACAGGTGTGCCATCTTTAAGGGTTCCAAATGAGTCCTGTGTGGGAACGACTCTAGCCATTTTGTGTACTTCTACAAGGCACTATTTAGTTATCAATCCAGCTAAATACAAATTTAAACTCTCCTAGCTTATTTTTGGGGAAAATAGTAAATTAGTCAGTTTTGGACTGACTTTTGATTCAATTATTTTGGCTGCAAGTCTTTACAGTCAAGTACACTTTTATATTGTTCTGCTTCGTTTGTTTTACAGCGTAGTTTTAGGAGAGGTGTTTATGCTGTATATAATGAATATTATTAGAACAAGGACATGACACAAACGTAATCGAATCTTTACTTTGTTTATTTCTGCTGTCTTTCGTTGCATTAATCCTGTTACAAAACACTAGTTTGCTTAAAACGTACAATCAGTTTAAACATCTTGCCTCTAGACTTTCCTATCATCAGGTATTAAAATCATTAAACATTTCTTTCAATGGCTAATAGAATTTACTTTTACTAATTTTTTTATTTATCTATATTTGCAGATCAAGCCAAAGCTTAGAAACGAAGCTTTCGGAATCAGAAATTAAAGTCTTGCCTATATTTCACATGACGTTAATGGTAATTTAACAACAAAGCTTTATGATAAACGTGATGACCTTAACTGTTCAATCGTCAACTTCCTTTACTTATGCAGCAATATACCCTTATCACCTGCATATGGGGTGTATATCTCTCAGTTGATTCGATACGCAAGAGCATGCTCTACGTATGAAAAATTTTTAAAACGAGGTAAGTTATTGACAAACAAGTTGATGAAACAAGAATATCAACAGTCTCGTTTAAAGTCATCATTTCGTAAGTTCTATGGTTGATACAATGACATTGTCAGCAAATACAATCTATCATTAAGTCATATGCTGACCGACGTTTTTCATACTAATTATAAGCTCATTATTTACACACTGAATTGTCGACGGATTTTGCCGTTATCTACTGATCATGACAAGGAGCACATGGCGGGTGTGACCGGTCGACAGGGGTTGCTCACTCTTCCATGGCACCTGATCCCACCTCTGATGTTTTTGGAGGTCCGTGTTAGCTCCGATCCCGGTTTGTATTGTAATAAACTTTGGGCTTGAATACGGTTCGTTATCTCCATATTTCATGAAAACATCTGCTTTTAATATCAATATATACTTTATAGTGCATGAAATTAAATGTACCCTTAGCTAGGTTATTATAATTACACATGTACCTCAATATCTCGGCACCAAAATTTTAAATCTGTACGTAATGAATGAATTGCGTTCACTCTTTTCCTTTTTCGCACAAATAATTCTTGTGTCACTTTTGAGCACTCGTATTTCCCTTGGACACATTAGATTTGACCCAGTTTAAATATTTAATCATGTCAGTTGTTGTACGTAATGCAATCGAGTCCGACTGTCAGGGCATTCTGGATCTCATAACAGTAAGATAATTACATAATTTTACATTACATTAATTATATAAAATTTTCTAACCTAAAGTTCTGTTTAAATGCGTCAGGTATGGAAAGCCGGAACTATTTTAACCACCCGTTAACGAATCTGCAAAGACTCTTCGTCAACTAAGGAAACTGTAAAGGGCAATATTCAATTTATTTAAACAGAAATTGATTGGCTTATAATATGTTATTCATTAATCAATATTTTCTTATTGTCTACATATATTTAATTTCTGATATTTATGTAATATAATAATTGATTATTTGCTGATATAAGTGAAAGATACTAATAGGTGAAAATTATGTATGTCTTTCAAATGATATTTGTATGGCACGCCGATTGCTTCAAAATTATTTTCTGCACGACCTTAAACAAAAATTACACGAGTAAGTAAAAACTTACACAAAGTGAGGAAAATATACACGAAGTTATTGAAATTTACACAAACTATTGAAGAACTGCACAATCAACAAAATATTTACACGATATAGTGACAAAATTACATAAACATAAAAACGAAAACTGCACGAGTGAGAATACAACATCGACATAATACGCAACGCATCCTCATTGCGCACATTTCATTAATATTCATTAGAAAACAGGTCAATGTGGCTTGGATGCTTGAAACATACTATAAATACAAAAGGAGGAGTAAAGTGTTAGTAATCTTTTTAAAAAAGATTCTTTTAAAATTCCGCTAGACTCTCAAGAATATGTACAACATATATTATACATGTAGATAAATTGACAGGCACACAATCTTAAACTTGTAGTATATGAATACTCCCGAATAAAAAACATTCTACAAAGAATACATGTACAGATAACGTAAAAAAAAAAAGGGAGGTGCATATTACAGTTGTGTGTTTAATTGTTGGATTTTTTAAGTAGGTCATTCCTCTATATGGCAATTTCTTTTGAAAGTTTAAAACAATGACATATAGGCCTAAATTAAAATAAGTAAAACAACATGTGATATAATACAGGAGAGTTAACAACAAATCAAACTCTTCTCCACCACCACCCACTGAGTGTACTTTTGGTAATAATCAAGGATGTGCATGCGTGACCTTTTCATAAAGAGATCCCTCCCTGCTGATTCTGGAACGAAAGACACCTGTACGCTAATCGATTTATAGCTATTTCACACACCAATAATAACTTTTGATTAAAGATTACTGGCAATTCATACAAAGATTTTGAAGCAATGTTGCGATCATCTGGGTTGTGGAATTTGACCGAAAACTTTTTGGAAGTCAACAGTAAAGAAAATCGAGCAAATAATTGCGCAACTGAAATTTTAATATTGAAACGCATATCTCACTTTTTGATATATGTATATAACAAAGTAGTACATGTAGTCTTAACTTTTGACCAACGTGTGATGATTTCATAAAACTCCATGAAACTGTAGAAAAATTATACAGTCGTTTTACTTTTATGAATTAAAGCTTAATTTTATGTTGTTTTTAATGTACCGGCGGTAGTCTATTTTGAATAGTTAAAATGCATATAAAGGCGTGAAGAAAATTTAAAAATATAAAATACAGGCACGTAGTATCGGGGGGGGGGGGGGGCAGCCAGATTTTTTTTTTTGGACAACCTACCTGAAAAAAACCTTGACAAGTAACAAAAGTAAAGTGTCCAAACTCGAAAATCCTATTTCGTGGGGGGGGGGGGGGGGGGGGGGGCACCTTCCACTTTGTTTTCGAAACATTATAATACCAGATTACTTTGATTTAAACTATCCTACAACAAGGGGGGGGGGACCAGCTTTTCAGTGTAGGTTATGGTTGAAAAAAGGGGGACAGGCCCCTACTGATGCTACGTGCCTGAAAAATTTTCTAAGAATTTAAGGGTAGATATAATAGTCTATCGAAATCAGGATTGCAATTTAACTGATTTGTAACGATATTGTAAGACCAAATTCAAGAAGATGTACAAGATGAACTTAATTAGCTGGGACTTGGCTACACATGCATATTTATTTTCAATGCAGATTTTGACAATAATAAATTTGAACACGGTAATAAAACAAAAATTTCTTGAAGTTCATATTCATCATATGTTTTCTTATATTTATTCGTCGTCATGCTCGAAGTAAAAACAAGACCTGGTTGATGTCATTGATACACAGTCATGTACAATATTGCTATAAAGCAAACTTTTTAATTACTTGTACATATATACGTACAAAATTCATATTGCATAGATTAGGCTTTTTAACTCATAATCTGAATTTTCAAAAATGTTAGATATGCACATGAATATTCTTTTAAAAAGTGGAGCTTGTATCAAATATGTTCCTTGAATGTTATTGAAGATTATTTTCATTTTATAATTATACAGTCATGTTCTTTTTATAATGAATATATCTTTGGGTAAAAAATTTTTATTACAAAAAAACAAGTGTTCGGATAATAATTAAAATTTTATGCATACAAATTCGAAATGTAAAGAAAATTTGTTATCTTGGAAAATCTTTGTCAAACCTCGAGCTCCATAAAGAACATGATTTATTTGCATTTTTCAAGAGCGATAAAACGCGTTCTATGTTCTTTCTATTTATTATAATATCCATTCCCATTTTCTTATTTGTAACATTGTACGTAGATGTATTTAGTAATTCACTATGTTTTAAAATTTCTGACGTGCCATTATCGTCCAGCGATTTGAAACTTTAATAAATACATAGATTCAGATGTTGTGACTCAATCAATCCACGAACAAGATCCGCCACTAATGTCATTAGTTTAACCGGTGCCAGGATCATTTGAGCAGAGTTTTGTTATTTCATTTGGACAAATTTTAAGTAACAAAACACAAAACCGCATGTATATAAAGCACATAGAGTATATATTTTTCCTTTATCTGGTCCTTTTTATTAAAAGTGAAAACATTTATCAAGTAATCGCCATTACGAATGAGGGTAACGCTTTCCCTTAGGAATATCTTGTTGTTTATTGAGTAGTTTTTGACTGAAAATATGCGATATCATGGAAGGAATTCATAACAGTGTAGGCTACAGATATCCAACCAAAATTGATATCCTCATATTTTATAAGTAAAGATACATGTATAATTAGAAATATTTTTTTTATGTTTGACTTTAAAAACATACTGTGTATATCAAAGGTCAGGTAATCCCCACTTTTTAATCTTTTTGAAAATAAAAAAAAAATATATCCAGCTAACTCCCAAATGAAAAAAAAATCTGCTCAAATGAAATCATAATAAGTACAAATAAGAAGTACCGAAATAAATTCCACAATTTAATGATTATAATCAGCAATAATTCTGCCATCATTTTCATGAAGAATCCACTTTATTAATCGTTTTATTATGCGTGTGTTAATTTTTATTTTATACAAATAATTTCCGTTAAAGTTGTATCTATAAGTTAGATAATTTTAAAAGGCCATAGAACGTATATTTAAAAAAAATAAATTAATAATTCTATCATTTTTTAAAGCAAGATCTGTTTATCGTTAGGAATTTAGAGTTTGCTGTGTATTACTTTTAGTTCAGAGTCGAGTGCATCATATGCAATGGTACTTTACACAAACAGGCGATTTCTTTCTTGTCACAATTTATGTCCGGCATCATATAATACCTCCATATTTTGGCTAGGATCTCGGTCAATATAAGAAAAATATAATATCTCCGAACAACTTTTAATTTTTTTCACACAGTTCACAAGAAAACACTTCATTCGTTCGATTGGCATTAGCTAGAAATCGGATCGAGTTTTAGCAAAGAAATAAAGAAGCAAACAAACATGCATATCATCGTCAACGCCATTTTCTCTCGATTACATCCAACATTCAAGAAGAGATAAAGAGTACAGAAAACCGAGAACACAATGAATATTCTATATGCATAATAATGATATGCGCAGCTGTATGCGCAGTAAAATTGTTTGTGTAATTTTTAGTTTCCTCTGCTCGTGCAGTTTTTGATTTTACGTTTGTGCATTTTATACCAATTAATCGTGTAAAAAATTTCGGATTCGTGTATTTTTCGTTATGTTTGTGTTAAAATCTTTCAAACTATGTGCAATTTTTACCGATACGTGCATTTTTATTTTACTCGTGTATATTTTTCATCAAGCTCGTGTATAAAATCGTGATCGTTGCGCAGAAAATAATTTTGAAGCAATCGGCGTGCCATATATTTGTATCGTAAATAAAAAGATTTATTTTAAAAAAAAACACGAGATTTGAAAATCTCAATTGCAATATAGAGTAAGCAAAGAGTGCAAAATATAAGTGCAGGAAAAACAGAAATTGTATTTATCGCATTGTTTTTAATGTACATGTCAACGTCGAGTGACTTTACTTATAACATTATACCATAAAACTCATAACATTGAATTGTAGCATCTTTTTAGAAGATTGTTTCAAAATCCTTGGTCTACCGACATTCCACTTCTTGGGATTCATCTATAGACCATGGTAAATTATTCGTGTTTTCTGCGCATGCTTAAAATAAGGAGAAGGAGTTGGAGTGTGGCAGTATTTTCGTCTTGGGCCTAACAATATTAATTTTTGTCCATAAAGAAGATGGGGAAACAAGGGATGCAAAATGCCTTTAAATGTATAAAAGTCATAATAAATATGTGAATTTAGTATTTAAAGGAGAGTTCTTATCATTGAAAGGAATGAAATTATGACAATCAAAATTTTTCTGTGGAAAATTCTCCCGGCAAAAATCACTTTATGATTTTTTTAAAAAGTGGTATTCTTGGGGTTCCAACCAAGGCAATAAAAATCCTGAGTGTCAATTTTTCCTTCGAGACTAACATACTAACCACTACGCTATACCGCTCATACCAAACAACGCCATTTAAACCATGTTTGTGATATGGCCCTTGAATAAATGGACTTCAAATATTTCTCGGAAAGATACGAAAGTTGTGCTATAAAAGTGTATTTTTAAGGCATATTGGTCTTAGCTCCATGTGTTTTATTAACCGAAGAATGTATATTTTTACGTATACTTAAAATCTTTCAAAAAAATGGAGCAAAGACCCACTCATATGGAAAAATGATGTTTTAGTGTGAAGAATTGGTCATTTTTGCCCTCTTAAGTGTATGTATGCTATTTTATATATAGATAAATAATTTCAATCTTTGTGAGATTGTTTCGATTTGTGGAGATTTTACATAAAATATACGTTAATCATGTTAATGTTAAACGAAATATCGAAGAAAATTTGTAATATTTGAGATTTAATTTTTCATTTTTCACTTTTTTATTTGTCGCACAATAGGCATTTAATCAATTGCTTACATACCACAGCCAATTAAGAGTGTGACAGGTGTTTTAATAAACAAAGTACATGTCATTTTAGTAGGTACATGCGTGTAGTTAACGTCCCTTCTCATCAGGGGTGTTCACCTCATGCACACATCAATCAATCTCAATGAATTTTATTCAATTTTAATTGTGATCTTATTGTCATATCACCTATATGTTCTTTTGTTTACTATGCATCGACATGAATTGTGAATAAGTGTACACATACATCTTTCTCTTGTACTGTATGAAGTTTTCTACCCTTTTATGCACAGATTTAACTTAGTTACCATAATGATGGGTAGGGCATTTCTGTCATTTTAAACGATCCTTCTGTTAGCAGATATATGTGTTTTGTAGAATAAGTTCAACTTCTGATTGTTTCTATCCTCTTTTATCTTCCGAAAGAATTGTAGTAAAGCATGATTGCTAGTATTCTTCAGGTGTATTGCTCACTCTCCTTTAACTATAGGGTCTTGAAAACAGAAGGGTTGTGGGTACATTGTCCTTTGGAAAAAGGAGGATATAAACAATCAGAAATCGATTACATTTTACGAGAAACTATTTTAAAATATAAAAAGAGCTTATCAAAATTTTAAATGTCGTACCCAAATGCTGGAGAAGAGTGTTGGGATCTTTTGGTTAAGGATATGTCTGGATAACAGGATGCTGTTACATGTATTTAATTGGGATCTAATAAATTTAAGAATGTCTGGATGGTAAGACGTTGTTGTTTTTAAACATGTTCATTGCTTACTTGAGTTAATTCTATTCAATTAAGATCTATACTAAAGTTCACATTAAGTCTGAATCTAAACTTATTGTTGTGATCCTACAGCGGAAAATGTCGTGCAAAGAGAAAACAAATTCATAAAATTAGTAGTAATAACAAATTTTGAATGCATATTTTTGTTATTTACATATTTTCTGTTGAAGCATCCATCGCCTGATTAAAATTTTGACTAAAAACGTAAACCTTATTATATAAATTATTTTGTTACATTACTTTTACTTAAATCAAAAATTGCTGCTTATATTTCATAGATTGCATTTATTCTAGAAGCTATTTATAGAATACACTGTATTTGATATTTTGGCTTTTTTATCAGGAATTGGCAGTTTATGAAAAAATGGAGGATCAAGTGAAAATGAAAGTTGAAAGTAAGATGATGTCTAATAATGAGAAAAATTTGACAAAGTTTTTACAAGAATGGCTAGTTTCCCTTTAATTTTATTTTAACTTAAATTGTTAATTAGTCGAAAATAGATTAAAAAATCTATTCACAAGAGAAAACAACTTTCATGTATTTTTTTTTTTCAGAAACAAATTCTGAAATCATTTGCAAAATGCAAGGCATGTGTTTGACTGTATTTTGTTGACTTCAATCCCTTTCAAAAATAATTCTGTCTAGTATTTAATTAATTTTTATCTTTTCCTCACGACTGCCGAACAGCGCTACGTGAAGATGGCTTTGGGAATGAAAAATACTTCCAATGCTTTGTCGCAGAAAATCAAGAAAATGGTACGTTTTTCAGTATATAGTTAACATTGCATATTTTTGCGTACATGTGTCATCGTTATTTTAACTGATAGTGGTATTTAAATTGTTACTTTAATTTCATGTAGGTTCCTCAAAATTGATAGGATACGTATTGTACTATTTCATTTATTCAACCTGGGAAGGGAAATGCATTTACATGGAGGATCTGTACGTGTCCCCGGAGTACAGAGGGAGGGGCATCGGATCCAGGTTAATGGGATCCGTTTGTAAGGTAAGTGGTTATAACATAGCAAAAAAGTAACGCGTATATTATTCATATAAAGTGGGGTGGCTAATTGAAAGTGGGGGGGGGGGCTAAACCAACGAAAAAAGGTAAGCCCCAATTTTCAATACTTATGTCTATCTTTGAAAAAAAAGTGGGGCGGGGGGCTAAGCCCCCCCCCCCCCCCGGTTCCGACGCCTATGCACTTTTAGACTACTAAATTCCACTGAAGCACAGTTGCTCAGGTGTAGTTTAACATTTCTTGTAGACTGCTGTAGAGAAGAAATGTGCTAGAGTCCACTTTGCAGTACTTGGATGGAATAAACCCTCCATTGATTATTACAAACGTCAAGGTGCCATGGATTTGACGGAACAAGAAGACTGGCACTTGTTTCGATTAACTGGAAGTGCCATAGAAAAAATGGCAGCAAAATGTGATATATGATATAAGTACCCTTGAAAAATTGAAATCACAAACTTTTGTCCTCTTATCTTACAATTATTCAGAGAAATGATGTTCCAGAGTGTCTAAAGAGAAAAAAATATATACCATATATTTTTCCTATATCAGTTTATGATTACAAAATAATTCTAATATCGTTAGAATTGATGAGGATTCTACACCAAGACTAGATCGACCAAGTAAACCGAACCCGATTAAAGAAGTTGAATTTTCAAAAATAACTGGGGAGTTACATGTACTTCTTTTCACCGATTAGTAATTCGGTCAATATATTTCTCCTTTCTAATTCGGGTCAGTAATGCTTGAATGAAAAATGCATGTAAGAGAAATATGAAAATGTATAATGGATAGAATGATTTATGAATGAAAAATTATATCAACTTTTTACATAAAAGTGGAATAGTCACCTTTACAGGACATGTACATGGAATTAATTTACTCACCAGGTAGATCAGATTTTTTTTTTTTTTAAAATTCAAGTGTCGACATTTTAGCTCTGAACATTGTGATTGAAACTTTTTTAATTGAAAAATTGACATAATTGCAGGAATACAAATTATGTAGAACAAACAAAAGAAAAAAAGATAGAAAAGAAGGAAAGAAATTGTAGCGGAATTGACGTTCGTGCGAACAATAGTCTCTGTTAAATATGAATTACATTTTCATAAATGATTAGCAGTTCAATACTCACCACTTTACTAAATATATATGTAAGTGTTTATAGTAATTTTGAACTCAATTTCGATAAATAGGAATTAAACATTTGACATTCAACACCATTACTTAGTAAGTATCTTTACTTGTTGCACATAGTATCGACTGTGTATGAATTGGAAAATGTTTGACCACTTGAAAAAGATTTATTCTATTTCTGAATTTAATGGTTTAATGGGTTGGTTGAGAAAATGAGCATTCTGTTAATTATACCCCCCGCAAACGAAGTTTAGGGGGGTATATTGGAATCAGCTTGTCTGTCTGTCTGTCTGTAGATGAGATTTTGTCCGGACCATTTCTTGGAAACTGTTGCAAGGATTTGTCTGAAAATTTGTACACTTATTCTTTGCCATATGAGGGTGTGCACCTGGTATTTTCATCATGATTGGATAATTTTTTTTTGCATTTTACAGGTTTTTACTTCATTTATATTATGTGGTTTTGTCTGGATCTGTTCCCAGAGACTATTGCATAGATTTGTATGAAAATTTGTACACTAATTATTTACCATATGAAGATGTGCACCTGGTATTTTCAACATTATTTGATAATTTTTCTGCATTTTGCAGGTGTTTTTTTTTTTTTTTTTTTTCATTTTTATTGACTTAGTCATTTTGGGTTCATGTCTAAGATTTGAGACATAGAATCTAGAACATCTGAACAAAAATGTGAACTACAGCTTAAAACTACTCATTAGAACTAAAAAAAAATCATAAAGTATTAAAAACAGTTTTTACATTACACAGCAGATAGTGTAAATCCATTTTTCCCTTGGGAGTAATGAGTGGACATGCATCCAGTTAAAGATTAATTAATGAGTTCAGTGTGGGAAGCTGTTAGGGCATCTCTGATCAAGCAGGTCTTATCTATATCATCTGGGAATTGGGCAGAAAGAAATAAAGATCTCTCTTGTCTAAGTCTCTTAATTGTAATTTATGTCTGTCAAAATACATAGTTACTAGAACCAGCCTTTTATTTTTAAAATGAGTTTGATATAAAGGTATTAAGATCAATTTGATTTTGTATAATTAATTATGATTTTTTTTTTCAACAATCAATTTGCAGAGTGTCATGTCTCAAAAAGATGACAGATAATTGCAAACTATTTTTTCAATGTAATAAAAAACACTGTAATTACTAGTATTGATGTTTTATTAGGCTGCACCTTAGTTTCATTCATTAAAAAAATACAATGAGTAATTAAATTTTCACTCTAAATGTTTAAGCAAATTGTGAACACCTCTCACGTCTAGAAAACATGAGTAATTTGGTACCTTCTCTGAAAAACCCAGCGGGGGGTATTTGTCCCTTTTGGACAATTCTAGTTGATCACATTTTAGTAAAAAATGTATGGGCATAAATTTCAAATGAACAACGAAGGCCAGCAGCTTCTTGACAAGAATATTAATTCTTTTGATAATTCCATTTTGTCAATGAGAGTAAAAATCCTTTGGGGGAAAATCATATTTAATAGTCCAACGTAAAGTACACCTTTCCGTAGACAGCGAGAAAGAATACTGGGCAGCACATAGCCAGAATGGAAGTAAAGTGTACGCAGAGAACAACTGGGGGCTGCCGTGAAGCCCCCAGTAGTTCCAGGACGAAGCCCTGGTGGGGGCCCAGGGGGCGAAGCTCCTGTTATATTGTTTTCTGCATAAAGTGTGTATGTCCCCGTATTCTGTGTACGAACAATTTCTAAACAGAGGACGGCTACTGACTGATAAGTAAATATTATAAGAATATCAACGATCTCGTTTATAGCCAACATTTTGCAATTTCTATAGTTGATACAATGACCTTGCATACAATTTCAACCTATCGTTAGGTGGAAAGGTAACTGACGTATTTAATACAAATTGTTAGGCTACATTTTTCATATTGAATTGTCCACGGATTACTCCAATTACCGAGCTGATGAAGTTACAGGGCTCACGGCGGGTTTAACCAGTCGACTGGGGAAGCTTACTCTTCCATTGTACCTGATTCCATTTCCATTTCTGTTTTCAGAGGTCGGTGTTGCTCTCCTCGCGATTTTTGTCGTTAAATTCGAATTTTGCGCATGAATACTACTCATTATCTTCATATTTGATCTTTGTCAGCTGATGTTGATGAACGTAAATACTTTTAAATTGGAAAGACTGTTTCAGTACAAAAAAAAGATCCTGGATTTGCGAGAGATTGCACTTTCCCTGTTTCAGATTTTTGTTTACTAGGTTTCACGTTTCAAGATTCTTATTACCTCGACAAGTGTCTGCCTATGGGCTGCTCAACTTCCTGCTCTTTATTTTAAAACTTTCATCTTTTCCTCACTGGGAATTGGAACATAGGTCAAAACTAGACAGTATTGTGCTTTACTTGGATGATTTTTTGTTTAAATGAGTAGCAGATATGTACAAATGTAGGCAATTAATGTATCAGTTTGAGGAGTTGTGTTAGTATCTAGGTGTGTTATTGGCCATTGAGAAAACAGAAGGACCCTTGTACTAGGTTGTAATTTTAGGTTTGGGTACTGATTCAGTATCTAGATAAAGTATCTGAATTGTTACAAAAATGAGTTTAAATTAAGAAGTAGGAAAGTAACAAAAAAGGACATAGAATCACTTTTAGTTTAACTGACATTTGTAGTGAAAGCCCTTCCTGCTGACATAATTTGGTCACTCGTAGACTGTATGGGTCACTGGTAGGTGTACGCAAGTCTTTTTATTTTATCAAAGTTTCAAAAGAAATGAGACTTGGTCTTGAAATGTGGATAGAATTCCTTTCAAAATTTAATGGTTCATCTTCCTTTCCGTCCTCCAGTTGGCTGGATAATGAAACATTAAAGTTTACACAGAAGTCCTGGGATTCATGGCTGTGGGGATAAATGCAGTTGCTTGGCATGGCCAGAGAATTCGTCCTCAGAGATGAAGTACACCATTTTACTAAAACTCATACCAATATTGTTGAGTATCTATGTTTGGGGGAAGAGTTGGTTTCTCGAAAACTTCTGCTTCATGTTGAAGACATGTCACTTTGTTCACATAATAAAAAAGATTTTAAAAAAAACACAGAAAGTTATGCTTTTGTTGAAGGTATTTATTTAGTATTATACGCCTTGCATCGCAATATTCAGTTTAGGAATCAACATATACCTGGTGCATTAAAATAGTAAGGCAGCAGTGGTCGCGGTTTAGTCAGCTAACGCTTGGGACACAACAGTATCCTTGTCAAGTTCCTACACAATTTTGGGAGATAATCAGACAACTATCGATTCCCTTCTTGATGCTAGCTTTTCAATAAATACTTGCAAAGTTTATAAGCAGGGGTTGCAAGCATTCTCCAGGTTCCAGTAATTAAAAGCAATGGGGGGATGGAATTCAACAGCTTATTAATCTTACATCAGGTCTATCGTGTAACTCTATCCAATATAGAAAAATTTTAATTTGCAATACTTTCAGATTGTATTTGGTTTGTTTTTTTTAACACAGGGCACAGAAACATGCAGCTGACAACAGGACAAAAAGATTGTCTTATCTCACATCAAATTGTTTGGCAAGGAATTAGAGGAATGGTTTTGGACCAGATATATATCCTACGGTCCAATCTATGTTTCAGAAATATAAAGCTCTAGGATTTCTTATTTTACGCTGTGGAGGCAAATGACATAGGCAATCCTTATAGTACACTATTGGTACACTAAGGTAAATAAAGCAAATCGATGTTGTTAAGGAACAGGAATTGTTACCAAAAACTATAATTGTTTGGTCCAATATATTACCTAAGAGAAATTGAACACACTCTTTATCCGAAAAGTTCGGAGGAAGGATTCATTGTTCCTTAGCACAGGCCTTTGGATCGCTTAAATCCGACTTTAAAAAAATGGGGTATATAAAAAAGATAAAGGTATGGATCTCCTTACACAGGGTACCCACTTTCGCTATCAAAATACTTTTAAATCGAATGCTCTAAACTTTTACTTTCTATTCATATTTATTCATATATAATCAATCTACATTACTACTAAAATGCGTTCCGAAATTTCGTGTACTTCCTGAGATATGGTGAAATCAATTCCAAAATTGACATACTTCTTTTACTCGACATTATCCTGGGCCTCTAATGAGATCTGCTCCAAAAACTTTAACCTGGTCAGAAAATATACGTCAGATCCAGCATCCAAAGCAAGTCCAGTAGTGTGCATCCTTAGGTGTATCATTCCTGCAAATTTGGTCAACATAGGGCTTATAGTTACTTGAAAATGAAATCTACTCCAAAAACTTTAACTTGGTCACTCATCCAGAAAAGCATCCGAAGCAAGTCCAGTAGTGTGCATCCTTTGATGTATCATCCATGCAAGTTTGGTTCAGATAGGCCTTA